TAACTTGGTTAGTATTTTTCATACAGTAGATTATTTTTTATATTTTCTCTGTCCTTTATTCATATGTTTACTTACTCACCCATTCAGCAAATAGGGATTCATTAGCTACTTTTGCTGTTGCTATGCTAAGCTTATAGTCGTAAATGAAGCAGAAAATCTATGCCAGCTCCCTCGTTTTTCATCCCAGAATTTATCTGTCCCCAGAGGCCCTGTGACAACATGTACCATCTACAATCTCGGTCCCTTCTGGTTACTATTTCATCAATGTCCTTGGTATCATTTTACAGTCTGTGTTAGAAGTTCAGTCCTCTGACATTCTCGGTTAAATGGTTTGATTTGAACTCTGCCTCTGAGGTATGTGTGAGGCACATAGAAACTAAATTTTGATTCTGTTGATACCCCCACAAATATACCTCTACTGAGTTCTAGGAATTTTGAAAATGGATCAAAACCATTTTTTTCTATTAATAAAACAATGGAGCATGACTGTCTCTTGGCAGGGTAGTGAAGTGAGAATTTATGTCTTCAAATGAAACAAAAATAGAATATTGCCTTTTCAAATAAAAAATAGAGGCAGGTGTTACAAGTGGTGCATTCTTCTTCTTTTTTTATTTTTATTTTTATTTTATTGATTATGCCATTACAGTTGTTCTATTCCCCCCTTCATTCCCCTCCACCCTGCACTCCCCCACCCCTACCATTCCCCCCTTTAGTTTATGACCATGTGTCTCAAGTTCTTTAGATTCTATATTTTCCATACTATTCTTGCCCTCCCCCCTATCTATTTTCTACCTACCATCTATGCTACTTATTTTCTGTACCTTCTCCCCCCTTTTCCTCCCACTCCCCTGTTGCTAACCCTCCATGAGATCTTCATTTCTATGTTTTTGCTCCTGATCTAGCTGTCCTCTTAGTTTGCTTTTGTTTTAGGTGTGGTTCTTAATAACTGTGAGTCTGCTGTCCTTTCACTGTTCATCTTTTTTTAACTTCTTTTTCTTAGATAAGTCCCTTTAACATTTTATATAATAAGGGCTTGGTGGACTTGCCCTTGCCTTTATATAATAAGGGCTTGATGATGAACTCCTTGAACTTGACCTTACCTGAGAAGTACTTTATCTGCCCTTCCATTCTAAATGAAAGCTTTGCTGGATAGAGCAATCTTGGTTGTAGGTCTCTGGTTTTCATGACTTGGAATACCTCTTTCCAGCCCTTTCTTGCCTGTAAGGTCTCTTTTGAGAAATCCGCTGACAGTCTGATGGGAACTCCTTTGTAGGTGACTGTCCCCTTATCTCTTGCTGCTTCTAGGATTCTCTCCTTCATTTTAATCTTGGCTAATGTAATGATGATGTGCTTTGGTGTGTTTCTTCTTGGGTCCAACTTTTTTGGGACTCTCTGAGCTTCCTGGATTTCTTGGAAGTCTATTTCCTTTGCCAGATTGGGGAAATTCTCCTTTATTATTTGTTCAAATAAGTTTTTCACTGGTGGCTGTTCCTTTCCCCCTGCTGGTACCCCTATAATTCTGATGTTGGAGCGTTTAAAGATGTCCTGGAGGTTCCTAAGTCTCTCCTCATGTTTTTGAATTCTTGTTTCTTCATCCTTTTCTGGTTGGTCATTTTTTTCCTTCTTCTGGTCCACTCCTTTGATTTGAGTCCCAGTTTTTATTTTATTACTATTTGTTTCCTGTGCATTGCCATTCATTTCAATTAGTTTAGTCTTCATATGTTCCTCTAATTTGTGACTACAAGCAACCAGTTCTGTGAGCATCCTGATGACCAGTGTTTTGACTGTGCATCTGAAAGTTTTGCTATTTCTTCATCACTTAGATTTATGGCTCTGGGGCTTTGAGATCTTCTTGAGCCATTTTTGGTCTGTTCACGCCCATTAAATATGAGGAGCGGAGCCTTAGGAGTGGGGCAGGGCCTCCAGGGCGGGGGTCGCTGGACTGTATGTGGGGGCGGGGTTAGAGTGGGGAAATGGTGTCCCCCTCTCCTGCTTCCAGGGACTGGGTGAGGGGCGAAGCCTTAGGTGTTCACCAGGGTAGGGTCACTCAGATCGCTGGGTTGTGACACTGTATGTGGGTGCAGGGTCAGAGCTGGGAAATGGCAGCCGTCTCTGCTGCCTCTCATCGCTGGGACCCGCTCGGTCCCATCTCGCTGCCCACTCCCTTGCCAGTCTGTCTGCGCAGGAATGCACCAGCACAGTCAACCCGCCACCCTTCACCCTCCCCAGATCTGCCAGTTGCTCACTGGGTCCGCCCTTTGCAACCCTGTGCCTGGGATCCCTGCACTTGAGTCCGTCTGACCGAGTTTTCCTGTGCAATCCTGCTCCGCCAGCTGCTGGTTTCGCCTCTCTTACTGGTCAGGCTGAAGCATTCATTGTTACCAGACTTCCGAAAAGTTCAATTTTCTGTGTTCTGGCTGTGTTTTCTGTTGCTAATATTTTGTTGTCTCTAAACTTGGTTGTGTGAGAAAGCAGGGCATCTCCACCTATGCCTCCATCTTGTTGGAAGTCTGCATTATTATTCTTATCAACAAACACTTATGCAGGTCTAATTACCCTAGGGCCACCTGAAGAAAACCCACATATACGCACCTTGCCCTGGAGGAGAGGTGTGATCTACTGTAGTTAATTTCTAATAGATGCTGGGTAATATTTGTCTTTATTTCTCTACATTTACTTTCACTACATTTTTCTAATTTTCATCAGCACTTTGTCCTTCAACTGTCTTTTGTTTCTTTTTGCTTTTAGTCACACTCTTCCCTGTGCATTTCCTGTGCATCCTTCTGAGCATCTCAGTTTTCCTTTCTCACATTTATACTCTGCAAACTTTCTCATGTGCCAGAGCTCAATTTTTCTTCCTGGAAAATAGCCATAGCCGTATTTTCCTAGGCCACAGACTTCCGGGGATAAAATGAATAAAGATGGCTGTGACAAGCTAGGTGGGCCGCCTGATTTTGAATTCCTGAAGTGGATAGAATACATTTTTTTGCCCATTGCTACCTGACAGGAGCATCCAGGGTCTCTGACCAAGCTCAAGGCTACAAGAACCTGCTCACCCAAGTGGGCCAGCAATCCTCAAAGATCCTCCTACCATTTAAATTTTATAGATAATCCACAGGAAGGAGACGCAAAGGGCTATTGCCCTTTAGGACTGCCAGCTTCCCGCACTTAGCCCAAATGAAGGCAAATTTATGGAAGTGGATTTCCCAAAAGAATTTTGGTGAAAAGTAAAAATCATTCCGTATGTAAATATGAAGCATGATAGCTACCATCTGTTGAGTACCTACTATGCACAAGGCACCATTCCAACTTCTTTACATAGATTCTTACTTGATTCTCATACTAACCCTTCAGGGAGGCTTCGTTAACCTTGAATAGATGGGTGAGGCATGGAAAGTTTAAGTAACTAAAGTTAGTGGATTTCTCAGAGGTGGGTTTGTTCTTCCCACAACGTCATACTAGCTCTAGAGTTTTAATAAGATTCACACAATATGTTCGTATATAGTTGTAGGCAACACAGGGTGTGAGAAGGCATTGGTTGACTTTGAATTAAGAGGGTGTGGAAATAATAAATATATATTTATATATTACATATCATATATATAATATATGTGCGTACATAATGAAAAATGCTCCCTTATAGAAAAAGACCATTCTGTGCCAGGAGGGGCTTGAATGAGGGTGTGGAGAAGATGACTGGGACTCTTAATGACAGTGTTCCAGGGACATGGCAATGAGGATGATGGACAGTTGTCCTTTATTATTGATAAGAACAATGCAGTGAGAGGCTGGAGGTAGAAGTTACCAATGCACATGTTTGCAAGACATTAGATAACTATGAAAGGGAGCATCATAATAACCCATAACAGATAAATGTAACAATTTTTTTTTATTAGCCAATATAGGCATGGGGAGGGAGGGGATTCTCATGCTTAGTTCATTGGCTTGGTGACTTAGTTCTGGCTGAAGCTCTAAGCTCCCATGCTCCATGGCTGGAGATACAAGTAAATCCTCCTAGTTCTGAAACGACTGTGAAAATCCTAAAGAACAATTTTAGCTACTTGTCTAAGAAACAAAATCATCTATAAATAAATTGTGTACAACGATAACACCAGCATAAAGAAATATGACTTTATTTTTATATGTGTATATGTTCACGTTAGAATAAAAATAACTTTGCACAGTTTCCTATTTTCTAAACTTCAGATTTGTGAACGTGTATTGTCACTGCCCACGTGCAGAGGCAACTTTTTAAATCAGATTTTATTAATCCTTCGTTGGAAGAAATGGTTGGCTGCTGGAGACAGAGCATGACGATTAGAGTATTGTGTTCTGGCTACTGCCCAGCCTATTGGGGAAGCATCATGTTCTCCTTGTCAAATAAGCCTCTTCCTAGTCCACATCACGAATACTGTGTATGGAACAGTAAAACCTAAAACAATCTGGGCAGTCACAGGACTGTAAGGCTCACTTACTGAAGCATAAATGGCTCAAGGTGCCTTTACTTCGCCTGTTAGCATCTGATGATGGTGATCCAGGAGAAGAATCACTGACAATATTTGGTATTTATGATACAGGCCAGGGAGTGATGTGAAGGGGAAGGCTTTTAAAAGTTCAGTGGGCTATATAAATGCCAGATAGAATTGTTTATGAAGGTGTGGACGGACATGAACCTACAGCGAAATACGTCCCATCTAGAGAATGAAGGGGTCGGGTTCTGGAATTTCAGGGTAATAATAATCTTTCAGTTTCAGTGTTCCATAATGTCATGTTTTCCGGGCTGGTCATCACAGTGGGTGGTTAGGCACTGAACCATCACTACCAGCAGCCTGAGCCGTCTTAGACCCTTGTGTAAAAGCTGACCAAAGAAGAAGAACAATACATGGTCTTTGGAGATGCAATAACATGCTCAACAGGAAACATGTGACAAGCCCTACACTTTGGTAAACGGATCATTTAAAAAAGGTTTTCCTATATTCTTGTTTGTTCTCATGAAACAGTGGAGGCGCTCCATCTGGGGACGCTGATGGCTGCTCACGGCTACTTCTTTCCCATCTCCGATCACGTCCTCACACTCAAGGACGACGGCACCTTTTACCGGTTCCAAGTAAGTTAATAAAAGCATTCTTTAACAGTAAAATAGACATCTGTATTTTGTTTGTTGATTCTTTTTCCAGAAAATTGCGGCATTTAACTTGCGCTAGTTGAAAACTAATGGTCAAATTTAAGATGTAAGAACAAGAAACAAAGAAAGATGGAGAGCACTTAGTTAAGATGACTCATGGAAGCTGAATTTTATGGTGACTCAAGTTATACTGTATAGAAAAGTCTTGAGAGAACTTCAGGGTCACTAAATGCAATTCAGGAAGCTAGGAAAGTTACCTTTAAGTTACATTTTTAGCTACTAATTTTTTGCCCTTGTGTGTGATCCAGAATCATCTTCAGTGCAAGCAAACATTTATAGACTGTCTGAAGCTCCAGGATAGGATATAGCTAATTATACAAACATTCTACATGTGGGTACCTGAGGCCCTTCTACAAGTCTGTAAAGACTCACCTGCATGATGCTTTACGTGTCTACACTCATCTGAGATAAGAGGACACCCCAGATAATTTGTGAATGGACAAGAGTTCTTCCAGGTCATTTTTCTAATGAGACAGGCAGGCTGCCGTTGTGTCAAGAAATGATAGTGGACTCTAATTTCACTGAGCATGCTTTTGATCTTGACTTCACAGTGATTTATCTGGAGCGTATTCTACATTTCATCAGACATTATGATTCATTCAGGACTGACTAGTAAATTCTAGCCTATTAAAATTAGGACAGCAGTGTTCAAACTCTAGCTCAGTTCCTGGAGGTGTTGTTAGAGGAGGGCTCTGCCCATTGCCCAGACATTAGAGCATTCTTCTCACTTGTTCTGAATATTATTAGATGTTCTGCATCTAAAACAACAACTAAATAGTCATTTGGGTGCCTAAGAACTCGCTTGGGAAAACCGAGAACAAAGAATAGGTTTTCAAAAATTGTTCCCTGAGGTCACTGTCCACATTAGAACACGTTCGTACCCCTTCCTTTGAGTCTTTTATCTGTGGCAACTCATCATGGGACATTTGTCCTGGGTTATTAGGAAAGCAATCTCCTAGAATTGTGATACTGACCTATGTATTCAATCAATTTAAGTTAGTTAAAGTACTTAATTGTAAAATAATGGAATTATTAATGGAACTTTAAAATAATGGAATTTTATCCCTTATGCAGTTAAACTTAAAGTCATGGTAGCTTAAAACAGCTTATTAAATTAGAGCAACTTCGGTTCCTAAGGTTAACATTTTAGTCAATAAAAATTATTGGTGATTAGCCAATTATTCTTGTGTTATTAACACTTTTACATTCTTAAAGGAGTTATTTTTTATTGCAAGATGTCATTTTCCATATATTATTTTCTTATAAAATTTTGATATAGACTATAAATAAACTTTACTAAACTTCCTAATAAATTCTCACAATTCTGAATCAGAGGGTTTTGAGTTTGTATTTTTAGTGAAAATATAAACTCTTTTCCATCTTCACAATGTTACAAGTAAAATCATACATGTATAAAAGAACATATCGCTATAAGGGAAGTATTGAATATAGTTTTTCTCTTGAGAATTATCTAATTCAAAAATTATTTTTAAATCAAACTAGTTCAGACATGGCCCAAAGTTAGTGATGATAGCTTTAATTATCATAACTTGCAGATTTTAACTACAAACTTTAGCATAAATTACTAATTTCTCAGCCTAAAATTAGTGGGCAAACAAGGTTTAAATGTCTTAGTCTCATGGGTCAAAAATGAGCCAAGTTGGGAATGAATCACCATTCTTTCTAGAGAAAAGGAAAAACTATTTTTAAAGAACTTTAAAACAAAACAAAGGAATGGGTACAAATGATGAATGAATTACATCTCTGCCAGGTACAGGCAGGTCGTCAAGTTTAGCTGCTTACACAGATGATAATCTCTTCAATGACACTAATTATGTTAAACATTAAATGGTAACTATTTGAATGACCCACCCACACTTGAAATGGGGTCTAAATATTACATCTCTGTAAATCTAATATTAATAGACTCTTAAAACCAAAATTTAAAAAACAAAAAAAATGAAAAACTCAGGAAAGGCTGAATTTTTGCTAAAATATCTACCAAGGCATTAATCAGTCTGTATTTAAACAGCTCTAACAATAGAATGCACATTATTGTTTAAGGTGTTTACTTCAATTTTTGGTTGGTTCCAAGAAGCAGAAAGTTGTTTTTTTATTACATTGAACTGGAATTCAACTCGTTGGAAGGATCTTAAAAATCATGAATAAAAATGGAAAACTTGTAATATGTTTACAATTCTTGCAGTGAATGATTGAGATTCCACCCCTCATTAGGAATCTGAAAAAGCTTTGGGGCATGAGTCTGAAACAAACAGAACTCTTAATTTAATTTCATTGGCATGCAGCAATATGTAAATTTACCTCAATTTTCAGTTCATTTTTAATCATGTGATTTTGCATTAATGTAAACTTGCAATTATCCTCTCTTAGCTAATTGGAACTGTGACCTGACATGATTTTCCACGTCCCTTTTATAACTTTTATCACGTTCATATATGTGCCAAAGATTATTAAGAAATGGCTGCACAGTTTTGGATCCGTTTTATCGCCGCTAAAGAAGCCAACACTCATATGTTAAAATGTCCCAAAGTCTATGCAAACTGCAAAATATGTTTTTAAATTCCAGCAAACTACAAGGGTTTGCTATTTATTAAATTGACTTTCACTGTAAATAAAAATATTTTTCCCTAGAAAAAAAATCTTACAATATTAGTGAAGAATGTTGGTGTTATGCCATTTCCACGTACTGGTACAGGGCACAGTGGTTTTATTCTTTAATTTTTACATTTGGGAAATTCTCACTAAATAATAAAATAATAAAGAAAATGATAAGAATGCAACAAGCATGTCTCGTGGTTTGAAGGGAAAAAAGTATATATCTGACCAGTGTGACTATAATAGGTATTTTTGAAGTTACCTAAATAGGTATGTGTGTGTACACATACCCTCCTCCCAAAATGAAGAAGCAACCTGAAGGGAGTAATGAACTCTGTGAGAAGTACCTGAAAAACTGGCAGTCCACATGAGAGCAAGGTTCTGATTACTTCGTTTCCCGATGGCTCCCCTAGAATCTTTTTTTTTTTTCATTTTTTAAATTTTTTATTTTATTTTTTAAATTTTATTTAGTTATTTTTCAAGTACAGTTTTTTTTGTCTATTTCTCCCATCCTAGCCTCTCCCACCCCTTGCTCCCCACCTCCCTCCCATTTCCACCCCCTTTAGTTCTCGTCCATGTGTCCTTCCTATTTGTTCCTCCAAATCCCTCCCCCTTTTCCCCTTAACTTCCCTTCCCTCTGCCCTCTGGTCACTGTCCCCTTGTTCTCTATTTCAGTGTCTTTGTTTTTTGTTTGTTTTTTTCTGCTTGCTCGTTTGTTTTGTTGTTTAGCTTCCTGTTAAAGGTGAGATCATATGGTATTTGTCTTTCAACACCTGGCCTATTTCACTCAGCATAATGCTTTCCAGTTCCATCCATGTTGTTGCAAAGGGTAGTAGCTCCTTCTTTCTCTCTGCTGCATAGAATTCCATTGTGTATATGTACCACAATTTTTTGATCCATTCATTTACTGATGGGCACCTAGGTTGCTTCCAACTCTTGGCTATTGTAAATTGTGCTGCTATGAACATTATGGTGCATAGGTTCTTTGATATTGATGTTTTAGGATTCTTAGAATATAATCCTAGCAGTGGAATTGTTGGGTCAAAAGGCAGGTTGATTTTTATCTCCTAGAATCTTTACCCAAACTTATTTCTAAGAAATCAAATCCTCAAAGATTCGTCTCCCATAGAGTCAAATGGGACTCAGGTGAGGAGGCGGCCCATGTAAAGCCTCTATATCCTCCAGGTCTGATGGTTCAACCCTTTCCCCCCTAAACTTGTGCTGCTATTCTTTTCACGTGTACAAAACCGGTATTCGTAGCTTTCTCTGTAATCCTGCAGCACTTGCCAAGAACGAGTGGAGAGGACCAAAAACCCTCGGGAGTTCTGACCAGCGTGGCATGCTCTCCCAAAACAGACTGTTCTCCCAATGATCCTTTGTCCCTTCTCAAGAATCCCTCTTCTAGAAAGTAGAATTATCAAATAGGTCATCAGAGATTACCCAAATGTGCTCATTATACATGGGTAGTTAATATAATTGACTAAAAACTGTAAGTAACTCCACAGGGCTGATGTCTACAGTCACTGTCCCTTTGGGCCCTAGAGTCACCGTCCTCTGAGAAAACAGAAGTTTGATAGACAGATGGATGGTCCTTGAATGTCCTCAAGGTCCAGAGGCCAGCGTGTCCAGCTAGTGGAGATAGAAAAGCCCTTTGAGAAAATACAAAATGTTAATGATGACAATAGCATTATCCTGATCACACATTTCCTTTGTACTTTTGTCCATCAGTTTCTATAATTTGACAGGATCCTGTTTCTGCCTGTTGCTAATCACAGCCATCAACTAAGACACTATTAATTTAAAAAGTAATCTCTGGTTTGTGCAGTTTAAAAACATACAGGAAGAAGTGCCTTTATTGAGAAATATTTTTAAAGTGAGAGGGGAAATTGTTTTTGGGCAAACTTAAGAGCTACAGTATACAATTAACAGAGTCAGGCAAATGATAGCTAGACCTTAGGGAAAGAATTTTACTCTGGGATCAGCTTTTAGGCCAATGAACAGAGATGCTGAGATACACTCATCATCGAAAACAATTTGTTATATTTAAACATGTCTTAATGCTGCATCTTACTGAATATAATATTCTGCCCGCAGCCTTTGTGGATTCAAAATTTTGCTTGAATAATGCAATCCGACCTTTTACCTTAATGTCAGTTGACATAAAATTGCAGCAAATGTAGGACATTTTAAGTACCTGCCGACGCTGCACACATTTGGGAGCAGAACATATTGCTCAGAAAAGTAAACGCAGAAAAAACACCTTTGCCTGCCTCTCTGGGTTCCTCTTCTGGATTACAAATGGACCATTGGTGAACTATTCCACAAGGTTGCTAAATATAAACACAGCTCATAAACCCAGAACTCTTTATTGTTTGTGTCTAACCTGCGTTCTACTTCTTTTCGTTCCACAGACGCCCTATTTTTGGCCATCAAATTGTTGGGAGCCAGAAAACACAGACTATGGTCAGTATATTATCTCATTTTATTTTGGGCAGCCGGTATGGCTGGATGAACATGTGCTTGTGTTTTATTGCTTTGTCATTGAGAAAAGAAACTATAGTTCTCAGTATGGGACTAATATTTCTAACATTGCATTTATGAGTGGCCTTTTCCAGGAAAGTTATCAAGTGTGGTGGCACCTCTTTTCATGGTGTGGTGTCCACCGAGAGTATTAAAGAAAAATGTATTTTCTTCTGAAACAGTTACAGAGCTATAAACAAGCTTTTTTTTAAAAAAAAGGGCTATTATTATCCTTCCACGGCACATTGGTCTACAAGAAAGAGTTGCAAAGCGGCTCAGAGGGCCAGAGAGCTACCTCTCCCAATCGGCTACGCAAATTGTGGCAAAGTTGACTGACTTTCTGAAGCTTCACTTTTCTCACTATTATATCAGGTAGTTTATGTTTCTGTAAGTGGAAGGTTGTAATACACGTGGAGAAGCCAATTATAAGCAAAGAAACAGTACAATAGAAAGTTGAAGAGTTTAATTCAATTCCCATGAACTTAGAATGAAGCCAGTTCATCCATCATGATTTCAGTTAAGTTCTTCAAGGAAATAGACCTCTCGAAAGTATTCATCTTTCTCTATCTTCCTGAAGGCTACAGTGTTCAAAGATGAGATTGCATGGTCTTCAAATCTCATTTCTACAAATATTTACTGAGGATTCTTTTCCTATTCCAAGGGTAGGTGCTGGGATACCAAAGGTGACCCGGAGTTGATCTACGTGCTTGGTATCTTGTAGGCTAAAGGAGAAAAGGGAAACACACGGAAGGCGTTACCATAGAGTTAATATAACGGTGGTATGTGCACAATCATTCAGAAGTTTAAAGAATAAGAGATCGACCTTAGTTGGGGGATTCCCGCATGAAGGTCCCTCAGTGGATTTCACAAAAGAACCAAGTTCATTGGAAGCTGTGAGCACACACGGTGCAATACAGACGATGTATCACAGAAACGTGCACTTCAAACCTGTGTGATCCGGTTAACCAATGTCACCCAATAAACTTCACATAAAATTTTTTAAAAATAAAGAAGGGAAGATTTTTTTCAAGAGAAAAAACAGAGCATTGGAGGCCGAGGGTTAGCATATGAAAGAAAGGCAGTGGGCAGCTTCTCAGTAATGTGGCTTTCTTAGCTATTGCTCCTGGAGAGACAGTTTGCAAGAAAACTATAGAAAAATCTATTGAAGACCAATGGATTACATATTTTGTCTTTCATTCCAGAAACTGGAATGTGTGATTCACCTCAGAATGGTCAGGGCCAGCCAAAGATTCAAAGTGATACACCTCATAGAAAACAACCTAAAAAGCCAGAATACTGATGAACTAATGGAGAAAACAGGCAATTTCTTTGCACTCATACTCATGCTCATTTCTTCATCCAGAACCACACATTTCTCAAAACCGAGGCAGTTGGAGAATGAAGTCGTTAAAAAGCAACTGTTGATTTGTGGGTCTGAGTTGGAGAACTTTCTGGAGCCCTCTGTCCAACTTGCAATGGTGCCTGGGGATCGTCTCGCCAAAGAACATAAAGTCCTAGCGGGGGCACACTTGGCTGGCGGAGAAGGAAAAAGCCCCAGATGTGAGGGACAGGCAGACCCCACCTAAAATCCCGTCACAGTCACACAGCAGCTGTGTGACTTTAAACAAGGCAGGCAGTGCTCGTGAGCCTGTTTGCTCGCTTGTTAAGTAGAAATAACAATATTGACCTTCTCAAGTTGTTGACACAATCCAAATGAATATGCTTCAGGGAACTGGTATCGTTCCTCTGATACGCAGGAAGTCAGAACTGCTTTGTGCTCACCATCGTTTTTGCCTGACAGAGTGTACACTTTCTGTTTCTGGAAGGACAGCAAGCTTACTCTCAGTGTTTCTCTCTGTCCATCTTTGGTGTTTCCCATAAATACGTTAGTGTTCACCATTACAGTTCCTGAGTGGCCACTTCACGGAAGATTTATGTTTGAGTGGGGAGCCTGAGGAAATGGCGGGGAGAATCACTGGCAGAGTGTCCCTCCAAGTGGGTCATCTCAGAGGATTAACGTCACTCAGTGTCCCATGAACTCTCCCCGATGTCCATTTTGGAGGGGGTCACTGTCCGATCTTTCTCCCCAGACCTGGAGCGTCTGCAGTGTGCTAAGTAACTATACACATAGTCTGTATTATGTTATGGCTTTCTCCCTGAAGAAATGTATCCCTGTTTGGGTCTAGCTTGCTTAGGTTATATACAAGGGAAGAATAAAATAATTATTCAATAAGAGATTATGAAAAACAGGACAAGAGGAAGATTGGCAATGATCTCAGACAGCACACCACTTCCCCAGCCAGTGAGCTTCATCGGTGCTGCTTCTTTTTAGATACACGTAAATCACAGCCGCAGTCCGCATTACCCCTGCTTGATTTTCCCACCACTGTTTGGAGGCAGCACACCCCTGCTTATAAAAACATGTTGATGGCATGATGTAGGTATGGCATGAGACCCAAAGCACAGTGATTTCTTAGGCTTTTTTTTTTCTAAGACAACTTAAAGGCAGAGTTTATCACCCAAAGCAGGTTAAAGAAATGGTTTCCTATCCTTGGCTGGTATGGCTCAGTAGATTGAGCGCTGGCCTGTGAACCAAAGGGTCGCTGGTTCTGTTCTCAGTCAGGGCACATGTCTGGGTTGTGGGCCAGGTCCCCAGTAGGGGGCGATGTGAGAGGCAACCACGCATTGATGTTTCTCTTCCTTTCTTACTCCCTCTCTTTCCCTCTCTCTAAAAATAAATAAATAAAACCTTTAAAGAAAAAGAAATGGTTTCTTTTCTTCTCTGAGCATCCTGACCTCTGTTTCCATCACCAGTTAGAACTACGTAGGCAGGGTCTGCAGAACCTAAACCTCTACAGGTCCGTTTATATGGAGAAACACTTTTCACGGCTACCTTGGTCTTATAGAAGAGTAGAATATGTTGATCGTGTTCAAACAAAGACAAGTCAGTTTGAAAATTAAGTTGGGTGAAAATGTTGGCATTTTTTCACCCAAGTACAAAAATCATTCCAATCCAAGCCAATTAAAATGGAGTTAGGAATGGACTTTGCATCAAGAGTGATATAGAAAAAAAGGGCCTATAGGGAGGGCTGGCAGCCAAGACACAAGGAAGCTTAAGAGAACTGTGGCGAGAAGAACGGACATCAGGCCCTGGCTGGCTAGCTCAGTTGGTTAGAGCGTTGTCCCGACACAACGAGGTTGTGGTTTTAATCCCTGGTCAGGGCATGTACAAGAATCAGCCAATGGATACGTAAGTAAAAAGTGGGACAGCAAAACAAGGTTTCTCTCTCTTTCTCTTTCTCCCTCTCTTCCTTCCTCTCTCACCTCTAAAATTTAAACAAAAAGGGTGCAGACAGTAAAAGTGGTAGCAAACTGAAACTGAAGCCAGAGACAGGATGTTTACTGGTATCTCTAGGCGTGTGCATTGAGCATTGAGGTTCCTATAAATGAGTACACATTGACTTTAGACAGGCTCCTTTTGAGAGCTGAGTATTCAGTGTCCAAGCAGGACCTTAACTACGAGAAACGGACATATCTGATAAAGACAGAGGCTGGCCCTACGTCCAGGTGACTTACCTCACTCACCTTCCCCAGATCTTAGCCCTGTCGGAACATGTTTATGTAATACTTTTATATTTGGGGCATTAATTTTAATTTTTTCAATATTGTATTAAAATATTATTTCCTTGATTTCTAAGTTTTGGAGCCCTCTCTTAACCTTTGATACCTGGGCAAATGCCTCATTCATCTCGCCCCAGTGATAATGCACCTGAGACCTTCACACAAAGAGGCGTGTTCTTACCATAAAGACCTTTGCACTGTGAAAATTGTCTAGGACTTTGCACTGTCTCATAGGGTGATGACTTGTGCCTCACAGAATATTCGGCCGGAGGCCTGTCTTTTCTCCAGGCTGTCAGGCCTGTGCAGAGAAATCGTCCTCAGTGGCTCCCAAGGAACTAGACCACACTAACTTCCACTTGTCGAAACCATGCTAAAATAATATTTAAAAGGACATATAAAATTAATACATTTTTCATAAAGATAAACACACAACAAAAAAGTTAAGTGTTCTAGTTGAGCGTTTGGTAGAATTCCCCAGGGAAGCCATCTGATCATGGACTTTTGTTTGTTGAGAGGTTTTATGTTAGTAATTGGGCTGCTCAGACTGTCTGTATCTTCATGATTCATTCTTGGTAGGTTGTGTGTTTCAAGGAATGTACCCATTCTTTTTGTTGTCAAGTCTTTTGGCATGTAACTGTTCATAATAGTTTCTTATGATCTTTTATAATTGTGTGGTATCAATGGTAATATTTCTTCTTCATTTCTGATTTTATTTGTCTTCTCTTTTTTTCTTGGGGAGTCTATCTAAAGGCTTGTCAATTTTGCTCATCTTTTCCTAGAACCAGATCTTAGTTTCATTAATCGTTTATATTGTCTTTTTTGTCTCTGTTTCATTTATTTCTCCTCTTACTTTGGTATTTCCTACTAACTTTGGGCTTCGTTTGTTCTTCCTATTTTAGTTCCTTGAAGTATGCAGTTTGGTTTAAATTTCAAATAGAAATTTTTCTCATATTTCGAGATAGGCGTTCATCACTGTGAACTTTCCTCTAGGGACTGCTGTGCTACATCCCGTAAATTTTGGGATGTTTATTTCTGCTTTCATTTATCCTAAGGTAGTGTTTTATTTCTCCTTTGATTTATTCTTTGATTCACTGATTGTTCAGTAGTATGTGGTTTAATCTTCATATATTTGTGAATTTTCCTTTTTTTCTCTAGCAGCTGATTTCCAGTTTCATACTATTGTGGTCAAAATAGATATTTGATATGACTTTGATCTTCTTAAATTTATTAAGACTTGTTTTGTGACCTAATGTATGATCTACCCTGGAGTGTTCTGTGTGCACTTGAGAAGAATGCGTACTCTGCTGCTTTTGGATGGAATG